AGTGCCACAGAGTCTTCACGACCACCCACAACAAGTAAGAAGCAGCCCTGGAATGGCAAAAAATAAGTAACTGTGTACTGCCTACCGCACAGATTGAAAACACTCCCCTTACGGAAAAACCTCTCTCCCATTTACCTCCCCGCTCCCTGCTCTGCACTGGGTCCCAGACTGGCTTCAGCAATTGCTGAGTCCCCTGGTCCGGAAGTAGGATCCATCACATGCCCGGAGCCATTCTCCCTGTCTTACAGTGTGAACAAATTAACAAACAGGGAAAAAAATAAACTGCCATCTCCCAGGGTAGGCACAGCTCCTTTGCCTAGGCATAGGCATGAGGGATCCATGAACATTGAATGCCTTTCCCCCAGCATAGACTTGTGTGGGCCCATCTCAACAATGTAGGCCTAATTACCACAGTACAACAGGGTATACACCGGAAGTCTAACTTCAACTGTTTCAGCTGTGAAGTGGCAAGTTCAAGACATTTGACACCGCTCTCCCCATTAAGCAGGGTATTCACTTACCCACATCAGGGGCCTGAGGACTGGTGGCTCCACCAACGCCACCTAGCCACCTGAGATAGGGGCTCATGAATAAGAGGTACCCCCCAGTCCTTTCAGCCAAGAGCATTAGGTGCTTATAGTCTGTATGCAAAACCACCCATGTACATGCTCTAGGGAACAGGGACACGCCTTCCTCCTGCACACTTGGAGGCAGCCATCAGCCCCCTGTCTTGCTCAGAGTGTGTCCCCCTGCTGCAGCCAGATGCCTGTGCCTACACCAGTCACCCACGCCTGTAAGTGAGAGCCTACAACACACACTTGGTGGCTATCTACCTGGGCACCTGAGCTGAATCCATGCCGGAGGAGTGGGCAGACTCCTGAGCTCACATACCTAGTAAAAGAACTAACCACCTGGTGACAGGACATTGAAGCTTCAAAGGTGCCAATAATCAAACTAGCTCACAGGAGTAACCTATTTGGACGTATCAAAACAAAACAAGAAGCTAGGACACAGTAAGCAAACATAAAATAAATAAATATAATAACTTATTGATTGATGGCTTGGAGACAACAGTCAATATCAAATCACATAAAGAGGCAATCCATGATGGCTTCAGCAAGCTCCCAAAATAAAGAATCTAGAAATTTTCCAGAGGAGGAAAATTTCTCAGAATTACCAGAGGCAGAATACAAAAGATTAATACACAGAATCTTCTAGAAATTAGGAAGGAAATTAATCACAATGCAGAACATGCAAGAGAGGAAATCAAAAACATTAGAGAAGAGCATAATGACAAATTTAACAGGCTGCAAGAATCCATAGAGAGGCAGCAATCAGAAATCCAGAAGATTAACAATTAAATGTCAGAAATAGACAACTCAATAGAAAGTCAAAGGAGCAGAATTGAGGCAATGGAAGTCAGAAAGAGAGAGATTGAAGATAAAGCAGTTGCCACCAACTTATTTGAGGAAAAATCAGATAAAAGGATTTAAAAAAATGAAGAAACCCTAAGAATTATGTGGAACTCTATCAAGAGGAATAACCTACGAGCAATTGGAGTACCAGAACGGGGGGATAACAGAAAATACAGACAGAATTGTTGAAGATTTGTTGGCAGAAAACTTCCCTGATATTGTGAAAGATGACAGCATATCTACCCAAGATGCTCATTGAACCCCACATAAGGTAGATCCCAAAAGAAAGTCACCAAGACGTATTATAATCAAACTTGCCAAAACCAAAGATAAAGAGAAAATTTTAAGAGTGGGTAGGGATAAACAAAAAGTCATCTACAAAGGAGAGTCAACAAGAATAAGCTCAGACTACTCAGCAGAAACCGTGCAGGCAAGAAGGCAATCGGATGACATTTATAAAGCCTAGAAGGAAAAAACTGCCAGCCAAGAGTTATATATCCAGCAAAACTGTCTCTCAAACATGATGGCAAAACTAGGGCTTTTCCAGATAAACAGAAGTTTAGGGAATTTGCAAAAACGAAGGCAAAATTACAAGAAATACTAAAGGGAGTCCTCTGGTTAGAAAATCAGTCACATCAGAAAACAAGCCAAGACTAGAACACAGGACAGAGCAACCAGATATCAACCCAGATAGGGAATCAAAGCAAAAACACTGAAAAATAGGGAAACAGATGTCAATATGTAAAAGACGACAACATTAAAACAAAAAAGAGGGACTTAAAAAATGTAGACATAGATTTTTCATATGGCAACAAAGTCAAGGTGAAATGCAGAAATAAAAGACTGGTATAAACTTAGAAAAATACGGCTAAATATTAAGGTAACCACAAAGGAAACTAAAAGTCCTCCAAGTCACAAAAAGAAAACCTAGAAAACATAAAGACTCAGCAAGCACAAAATCAACAACAATGAAAAAGATGAAAAGAAAATTCATAAAGAAAAATGACTCAGCACAGAAAATTAAGTGGAACAAAGATAACAACACAAAAAAAAAAAGACATCGAAATGACAACACTAAACTCATACTTATCAATAATTATGCTGAAAGTAAATGGACTAACTGCACCAATAAAGAGACAGAGAGTGGCAGATCGGATTTTAAAAAAACATGATCCATCTATATGCTGCCTACAAGAGACACAACTTAGATTTAAAGGCACAAACAAACTAAAACTCAAAGGATGGAAAAAAATATATGAAGCAAACAAACCTCAGAAAAGAGCAGGAGTGGCAATATTAATCTCCGACAAAATAGACTTTAAAGTAAAATCCACCACAAAGGATAAGGAAGAACACTAATAATGATTAAAGGGTCAATACACTAGAAGGACATAGCTATAATAAATATAAATATAAAACATAAATATAAAGCAGCAGTCAAGAAATCAAATGATGTATTGCATTTGGCAAATCTGCTGCAAAAGATCTCTTTACAGTGTTAAAAAGTAAAGATGTCACTTTGGGGACTAAGGTGTGCCTGACCCAAGCCATAGTATTTTCAATCTCCTCATATGCATTCAAAATGTGGAAAATGAATAAGGGAGACCAAAGAAGAATTGATGCCTTTGAACTATGGTGTTGGCGAAGAATATTGAATATACCATGGACTGCCAGAAGAATGAACAAATCTGTCTTGGAAGAAGTGCAACCACAGAGCTCTTTAGAAGCAAGGATGGTGAGGCTTCATCTTATGTACTTTGGACATGTTATCAGGAGGGACTAGTCCCTGGAAAAGGACATCATGCTTGGTATAGGGTCAGTAAGGAGAGGAAGACCCTCAATGAGACGGATTGACACAGTGGCTCCAACAATGGACTCAAGCATAATAATGATTGTGAGTATGGCGCAGGACTGGGCAGTGTTTTATTCTGTTGTACACAGGGTAACTATGTGTTGGAACTGTCTCATTGGCACCTAACAACAACAGTTGCTCTCAGGGTCAGGGCACACTCTTTAATGAACTGTTTTCTCTTTTCCCTACCCCACCATTCCCTCCTACCGGCCCTGCCAAGACACCCCCACCAAGGTACAAAGGGTGCACACTCATGTATACATTGGTTTTCTTCTCAGCCTGCCGCACTCATGATGAGAGCCCAGATGAAACATTGCACATTTTATTAAGGGGCACATTCAAAGATCAGACAGTGTGCCGAGCAGTGTTCTGAAGGCTGTGCTACCTTACTCACTTAGCTCTCTGCTCCACACCAGAGAGCAAGCTGTGGCCACCCTCACTCACAGAGGAGGAAACTGAGGCACAACAGCGGGCGTGCAGTGTAGCAGGTGGGGGCAATGGAACTCATTCCTGACCCCTCCTCATCTCATAGTGTTAACGTTCAGTTCATTAAGCAGATCTGGTGCTTTCATTGTCTGTCTCATCTCACGCCAGAGTTGCAACCTGACCCTACAAATGCCAGTAAATGTCCATTAGTCAGAAAAGACTGCCTTACACCAGCCCAAGCCAGATTTGGCCCACCCTGAAATGCACAAAAGGGCCAGCTGTAACTGTTAGTTGACCTCAACAGAGGATGAAACCACAGATGGAACGAATCAGAAGGAAAATCATCACCTGGACCCCATTGTGAAGCAAGAGGTCTGACAAGAACCAAGTCGCTTCCTGTTTCCTGGTCACCATAATTCCAGCAATGTCTTCCCTACGTATTCCTGCTAGAATTTTCCCTCCCGAGTATGCCTGCGCAGCCGCCATCTTGCTGGCCAAATCGCCTGTAAACTCTGCTTCTCCATAGCTCAGGGAGTTGGATCTGAGGAACTTCCTCCTGGCTCATTGTTGTGTGTATAGCAATAAAGTTACTTTCTCTTTCTCAAAGGCTGGTGTCCAGATTATTGGCAGGTCTGAGCGCGCCAGAGAGAACCCACCTTCTAGGGTTTGGCAACACAGTCTCCTTGTGCTTCGGATTCCTCTTTCCAGGTACAAAGTCACATTTTAATATTAAGAGATAATAAAAACAGATGGTGCTGAATTTTCAGATCTATTTTAATCTTAAGATACAGCCCAGAATGATGCTTGTAGTGAGCTCAGATGAGCAAGTTTACATCCTAAGGCAGTTTGGTGGGGGAGAGGGGCTGTTTCTGACAAAGCTAACAAATCCTGCAAAAGGTGTATCACCCCCTCTCCCCATTCCTTTTTGTGAATCCTTTGTAATAGCTATTACTCTGGTGACTGAGCAGTTCTGGTTTTTCAGAAGAGGTTAGTTTAATTTAAAGTGATAAATTCTTAATTACCATTGTTTCTAGATTCTCTAAGATAGATCAAACTAATTCATAGTTTGGTTTAATTAACAAGATCTTTTTTGAACTTTGCTTTCAAATTCTGTCTCAGGACTGTGACTCTGGAAAGCAGCACATTCGGCCTCATTTAGTCCACACATGGAGAGTCCAACTGTCTTCACTGAAGGCAGTGTGGACAGGGATGCTGCCCGCGTGGCACTGGGGCTGTGGGTAGCAGGAAGGTGCCCATAGTCACCTGGGGCACAGACCTTGGTTATTCAGTGTGTGTCTTCTCTTACATCATGAGTGAGGGATGAGACAGAGTTTGTAATGTGGTGGGATGCTACCAAACCCAGTCATAATGGGGTTGAGATCAATGTCTTTTGGGTCAACAAGAGACTTCAAATTAAAATGCTGCAAAATGGCAGATAAGAAGAGGAACAGTTCCATGCGAGCCAGGCCTTCTCCGACACACACCCGTTTTCCTGGAAGTGACAAGAGTGCTGATGAAACACTGAGGGTTTCCCACAGAGAGTCAACTCTACCAAAAGCCAGACAGCAGAGGGAGCAGGAGAGAGGAATAGAGCAGAACTACCCCTTCCTGCCCATTGAAAGGAAGCAGAAGATGTATTAACATACATTCTGAGTAAGGAAATCAGTAATGTGGACTTATTCAGGGATAGCCTTCCTACAACTGCAACCATCCTGAACACAATGGGAAACACCTGAGCTAAGTTGGCAACATGGTCTCTGCCCAGCAAGAGAAGTGTTGCCCGATGCTCACCTATGGTGTTCTCCAGGAAAGCAGTGGGTCGCCTTTGAGTTAAAAGCTAACATTCTAACACTGGGTGTCAAATTAAAGCTATCAAGTTGGTTACATGATCTTCCCTTGCACCAATACCGGAGGCAGAGTCCTGGGAAGGAGGCCAAGGGAGCGGCCACTGACTCTCATCCCAGGGAAGACTTTGATGCTTCCCTTGATGAGTCCAGGTAACCAAAGGGTTGATTGTGTTTAGTAATTCTTGTTTAAAATTATGGAGAATTAGGTAATGTAGTTTTGAAAGATTTTCACTAAGTTCTGTTGAAGTAGAAATTAAGCTTTAGCACTGAATTAGGTAAAGTGTACATTGTATGGAAAAGATAATTCATCCACAACACCTCATTCCCAGAACTTCTGGGTGAAAAGGTGTCATTTAGACTCTCTGAATAGGTAGCAAAACATTGGGGTCATGTTGCAAATAAAAACAAGGGGCATGATGGAACAAAGAAGTTGATGTATGTCTGTGATGATGGCAGAGTACAAGTGAAGTAAAATGAGTAGGGTAGGAGGCAGTCTGCTTGGGGGAAGTTGCAACATCTGAACTCTTTACCTGCAGAGAATGCTTTGAAGTAGTCGCTGTACTTGAACTTTCCATTCTCATTTAGAAAGTGCTCTGGTTTAAACTTTTCTGGATCAGGGAACTCTTGGTCATCATACAAGAGGGAGTCCAGAGTTGGAATTACAACCGTGCCCTAGAAGAATAAAGACCATCTTAGCCAAGCTGACACATGTGGGCTTTCCTCTGGAAGCCAGCTGTGAAGAAAGTTGTTTTCAATTCTTGGTTATTACACAGGACAGTATATATCTAGTCGTGGGAAGTTGTTTAACTAAGGGCTAGATAGAAAGACAATGCTGCTGTGTGAAATAGCAGTCAGAGGCTAGGTCTAAATGGGAAGGGAGGTCCTAATCTTCTCAAAGGATTAACTTCAGGGTTGTTCCCCACCCCCCCACCCCCGCGTTGGTGTAGAATATGCCACAGTGCCCAAACGCTACTGTGGAGTCACTGTTCCAGATTCCTGCATTTTTGTAGTCACCAGGTCCCTGGAAGGCAGGAAAGAATGGCTAAGGAAGCAAAATTCTGTGGGGTAGGAATGTTGGACCAGCCTCCACCATTCGGCCACAGCTGCCAAAAAGGTTGTCCTTCGGTCCCTCCACCCTGTCCCCTGTCAGCCTAGCTGAAGGGTGACAGAATGGTGCACATCCGACCTTGGGGATGGCATATCCTCTGAACATCGTGTCCCGAGTCGCTTCATGGGGCAAATTTGAGGGCACGAGGTTGATGAATCGCTGAATCTCATGCACCACGGCATCCATGTAGGGCATCTCTAGCCTATCCTTGATGGCAGGCATTCGGCTTGGCCCAATCACCCTGTCAATTTCTTCATGAAGTTTCTCTGCCAAGATATTAACGGAATAAATTTAACAGATTGATCCAGGCTGGCTGGTCACCCATCCACTCATTCACGATACATCTGCCCATCCGTCAAATCATCCATCCAGCCATCTCTCCAATAATCCATCCATCCACCCACCCACCCATGCATCCATCCACACACCCATCCACTCAATCATCTACACAACAGAAGTTAACCGAACACCTAATCAGTGCTTCATGGTGTCCCAGGTGTTTTGAGTCATCAGATAATCTCTCTATAAATATCAGTAAGAGCTAAACTCTATGAGGTTATTTATTGTCTACAGAGCGTCTGGCATCCATTATCTTAGCTGATTATGGCTAATCAGTTCTTCTCTTTATCTTAGGGGTAGAGAATGACAGAAGGTCTTGCCAATTGTTTTTTAAGAAATTCTTGTATTAATTATTACCTCAGGCTGGTTTACTTCATTCTTCTAAGAAGTATGAAGGAGAATGACAGAATGGAATCAAACACGTATTGTGTACTTTTCAAAGACCTTCTAGGAAGCACCAGTCTGAAAATCTCTCTCTTTTTACAGGCTAAAGCAACTTTGGCAAGTTGCTTAACCTCTCTGGGTTTAAGATTTTCTGTGGGCATTTATAATACACTGAGTGGAAAAAAAAAAAAAACCCTACAAAAGATATATGCAGTATGGTACCCAAGTAAAATTTTAAAACATATACAATAATATGAATTGTTGCGGATACTTAATAAAGGTTAACTATATGAAGTTGTGCATGGGAGTAGTGAGCACCAGCCAGGGCGTTGGCATCTCTGGGGAGGGAAGGCAGGGAGGGCTTTGGCTGACTGCACCACGTTTTCTTTGGAAGAGCTCTGACACAATTATGGCAATACGTATAGGAGTGCCAGTCATATTTATTTTGTCTTTTTCTCTATGTTGCAAATTCCTCATAATTAGTAATTAAAATTTTTTTTAAGTCTATGGCTCCCCCATTACAGAGCAGTCAAAAGTTCTTGTGCCACCGACCCATAAAAGGCCTCCCTCCATCTGTTCTCCATCTGATTCCAGCTACGCCCTCTGCCTCCAACCCTCCTCCCTTCTCTGCTGAGAAGTCAGCCTTACTCAGGAGTAATGGAGACATCTTTTCACTGTCATAAGTAGATGGTATTACAGAGTGGAACTTAACATTTCTCACTCTGAGCTATGTTGTTGGACCCCTGGTAGGGAAGAGCATGGGGCCTTTCTTTTCTGCAATGAAGGTTTTGCTGGGAATGTGGGTGTGTCTGCAGAGCTCTCCCCTCAAAGTGATTCATCCTGTGACCCCAGGGCACAGGCCTGGCCCGGTGTTGGCATCCACCCATGCCTATGACCTGCAGAAATAGCCCTGGCTCAGTACTGACGCACTTTCAATCTCCGGATACTTCATGAGGATCAGGAGCCCGTATCTCAAGGTGGTGCTTGTGGTCTCTGTCCCCGCAAATAACAGGTCAGCCATGGTCACAGCAATGTTGTCCAACATGTCCCTAGGCTCTGCACTTTGCTTTACCTGCAGTATCAGAGACAGAAAGGGACTCGATAAGAGGATGTCTCCAGGTGGGTGCAGAAGAGACAACTATCTCCCCTTCAGCAAATGAGAATGTGCTGACCCTCCTAGTTCTACAGAGATAGAAATTGTCTTTATTGAACAGTCAAAGCGGGCCAGCCAGAATCCATTGCTCCATGAGATCACCCAAGTAAACCATGATTTGCAGCCAGGAGAGACATTATCATCTCCATTGGATGGTTGGGGAAACTGAGGCATCCAGGAAAGCGGTCAAGTGGCAGGACTCAGCTCCAACCCAGGGACTCCACATGCTCTTCCAACAGCTCTGTGGCAGCCTCCGTTGAGATCGTCCAGCCTGCAGCTGCGGCAGGCCTCCTTCTTCCCCAAAGTTGGAGGTGCTTAGGTGACGGGACCTTCAGCAGCTCAGAGGCTGGTGGGAAGAGCACTTGTCCACTTGTGGCATTTGTAGGGGTGGCTGTGCTGTGGGGTTTTGGCTGGCAGCTCGCCATGTCACAGCAGCTGGTTCAGGGCTGCCTTCTGCCCGAGGCCAGCGCCTCAGGTGACACAGGTCTGCCAGGCCTATGTCAGGGACGTGCTATGGGCTCAGGAAGTCACACAGGAAGCCAGACACCCCAATGATGGAGGAGGATTCTTAGACAAAAGGGTAGCTATCTGCGGAAATCAGAGTGTGGAATTCACATGTTCTTGTCAAGGGCAGACCTGAGGGCTGTCAGGTAGATGATGCGTTGTAGGCCCAGGACCACTTGAATCTCTCACAGTGTGGGGTCTATGTGCTGACGAGGAAGGCTGAGGATCCCCCCCCAGGCAAGACACAGATGGTTAAAGTTGTTGGTCCAGAAATGACCTAGATCACAGTCTGGGGCGGGTTGCTGTGAGATACCCACCAGCCCACCCTCAGCTGGTACTGTAGGGACAGTGTGGTGTTTGAGGTTGCAAAAGCATTGGGTCTGGCTGATGTGAGATAGCCAGCTGTGCCCTATTGGAGCAGAATGTGCCGGGTGAGACCAAGAGCAGCAAAATGTGACCACAATGGCTGTTCGCACCAGATGTGCAGGTGCGACATAAACAGAAAAAATGCTTGTCAGCCCCCTAACCCTCCGCCTCGTCTGGGGCCCAGATCTAGACATGTCACACAGTCTGGGGTTGGGGGCACCTTTTCCATCTCAATGAGAAGGCAGTCGATGAAATCCCGGGGGCAGTTGGGGTCCAGCGACATGTAGTGCTCCATCACCTGCTCTGACGAGTACTGCTTGATTTCAGACACGTTCTTCAGGACCCTCCTGTGGCTCCCAGGCATGTAGCATAGATAGGATGCAAAATAATAATAAAGCTAGAGAGAGAGAAAGAGTTATCTCACTAGATTTCTTTTTCTGGATGCAACCTAATTGTGTGTGCTGACTAGGCTGATACTTGAATTTATGACCATTGTGATCATCTCATTTAGAATACATATTTCTGGTGGACAGGATCATTTGGGCACTCCTGTCGGGGGTGACACTCTGTGACGGAAACATGAACATGGCAGCCAGCTCTTGTTCATCTGAACATCAGTCTCTCGGGGACACCACTCTTAAAGGGCAAAAGGTGACAGTCCCGAGGTTCGCACAGGGTCTGCCTCTAGAAGGAATATTGAGGCTATCTGCTCAGATGCCCTGATGTGCTCCCATTCTCTGCTTTTGAGGCCTCGCTCATCCCCCACAATCCGAGTTTTCCATTTTCCCGCTGTAAACCACGCAGCAGCACTCAGCTCAGATTAATGGAAAGGAGGGGCTGCACCTGGAGCCAGGGAGTGCTTAGCAGATAGAAGTTCTCATTGAACATGTTCAACAGCCTCAGTAACTTCTTGTCACCGTAGTCGAAGTGCTTGCGGAAGATGATGTCGGAGATGACGTTGCAGTTCGCAGCGCTGATAATGAAGGTGGGGTCAAAGGGTTGGCCTGGAAGACAAGGTCATCAGAGCTATGCACACAGAACTTGAGTTTTGAGCCTCTCATGTGACGGCCTGCAGGGGACGTCACTGCCTTCAGACCAATAACCCCATCTCCTGCCACATGCTGATCAATGCCTGTTTTCATTGTCTGTTGGTGAGAAGACACTGAAAATCATAATGATTCACATACAGTATTGAGTTCTTAAGTCTATTTGGGTTGTCTCTGCCTCTCAAAGTTATTTGGAATACAAAAATTACATACTTGACAGCCACACCTTCTCTACCCACAATGTAGAACAGGAAATTCAAATTGTCAAATAAAATCTCTGTGGTTAACAGGACCCTGTCCATGCACAGCTCCCTGAGCTGCTCCTTGCTTCCGATGGTCCAGATACTGTCCCGGGGATGTCAACCCCCTCCCTGAGAATGGACCCACTGTCCCAGGTGGGTCAGCCCCCTCCCTGCTGTGCAGACCCATTGTTCTGGGTGGGGTTGGCCCCTCCCTCCCAACAGATCCTCTATCCCCACAGGCCAGGGCCCCTTCCAGCACAGGGACACACTGTACTGGGCAGGGTGGGGCTAGGTCCCTCTCTCTCCCCTCGCCATGGTGCCCCCCGTCCCAATGGTGCACATACCCTGAGTCTTCCTGAGTTCCTCCAGCAGGAAGTGAGCCTCCCTCTGGATCCGCTGCTCATTGCCCTCCTTCCCCATCCCGTAGTTCCGCAGGATGGTGAGGGAAAAACGCCGAGTATCTTTCCAGGTGGGCCCATTATTGAAAATGATTCCTAAGGGAAGAAGGGACAGCAAGGAGTCACCTCAAACCCAGTTCTGGGAGAAATGGAAGCTGGAGTGAGAAGCTCTCAGTGGTTTGTAGGCACACAGGGAGAATCAACCAGACAAATGCAGAAAAGGGATGTCCTGAGGACAGAGCCTGGACTAAGCCTGGGCCTCTAATGACCGAAGTTCTGGGGGAGGATGAGCTGAGCCAGGATGTAGGAAGAAGGAGTCAGGAGAGAGTGCAGCTGTGGAGTCCAGGGAGAACGTGTTTGGGAAGGATGGAATCATCACCTAGAGAGGCTGAGAGGCATGAGGAGCTGCAGACCAGGTATGGGCAGCTCCTGAAAGGTGCGGTAAAGAGGAGAAGAGAGATGCAGAGGTTGGAGGGGGGAAGGGGTGGACAGGGCCAGAGAATTTACAAATGTTATTGGAAAGGGCAATGCACATGGATGGTTCATTTTGCCCAGAGAGGCTGGTGGGCTGGCAGTGAGTGAGGGTGATGGCTCTCGATCCTTCTGCTGCACCCGGTGTCACAGGCATGAGAGCAAATGTCCTCGGTGTTTCTCTGGCAACATGCCTGTCTTGCTGACCAGAGATAGGTGCCTGGATATCTGGAATGCACCGTTTTCATTTTAGGAGAGTAGTGTGTATGCGTCTCACATAGTCGCTCTCATTAAAATGCTTACTCTGCAATAAATGAATCAATCCATGCATGCCTGTGTGTGTGCATGTGTATGGCATCACCTGAGTGGTGTCTGAGCCTGGCATATCTACGAACATAGCACCGATGGCAATTAGTTTTAAATTGCTGAATGATCTCTCAGAGCTGGCAATGGAAACTGTCACAGCCAATAGAAAATACTCATCCCCCTTCCCAAGGGGCACCCAGGGCACCTGCCCTATCTGCCATACCTTAGAAATTCCTCTTAATAAGTTGTCTTTAAGATTACCACTGCTGTTCCTATTATTGTCATTATGCAGGGGGCCCCTAATGGTGCCCTCCTGGGCACAGCGGCCCAGGCTGGGCCACGTCGCTCAAGGAGCCAGACTCACCATGGTTCTTGTGGGCGTCGAAGGAAGGATTACGTCCTCGTCCGGAAAACTCGTTCTTGTGTTGGAGCAGGACCTCTCTCACGGCCTTGTAGCCGTGCACGACCACGAAGCGCCGGCCGCACAGGTACAGCGAGAACACCGGCCCGTACCGCTGTGCGAGCTGGGAACACATGGAGCAGGATGGACCACGAAGGTTTGTGCTTTAAAACACGCCCTCACGAAGTTACCGCTGTTGAGCCAAAGAACCCGGAGGGGTTGGGGAAGTCCGGTCTCTGCCCAGCCCAACCACTAGGATCTTGGTTTTGCAGGGAGCAGAGCGAGAGGAACGGTCTGGTCTTCCCACTCAGGGCTCGTGGGTCCCACGGCCTCTCCAATCCCTCTGCCACTGTCTAAGGTGCAGCTGCCCTGGGAAGGGTGCTCCGACTCTGGTCAAGTCCCACCAGGACCCCACCCCCCAAAGAAGTCGTTTGAAAAACGTGTCCATTTCCTTTGTTTTGTAATATATTTTAAGACATTAATTTTGAAAATTTGATCTGTGAGAAAAGTATTACAAAATAGAAAGTGGGTATTTGTGATGGTGATGTTTGCAGGTGCTTGTCCCTTTCAAAGTGTCGCTATTATTGGCATTTGGTGTTATTGTCTGACACACTTGTGTAGCTGTATCTTCTGACTTTGTTAGATAATTCCAGATAGACAGGATTCTAGAGAATGACTTCTAGGATAGAAACTACTAGAACACCCACCTGTGCTGCCCTAGAGCTTCTTGGACTCATCATACCCCTCCAAGGAGCCCTGCCTGCCTGCCTAAATCTCCGGGCCTCACCTGGCTGTGCTTCCTTCCTGCTCAGCCTGGGCACAGCAACTCCATGGACCCTGAATCCTTGACACCCTCCCTTGTGCACTTCACTCACCGCCACTAAGAGCTGGGACACTGGGTACAGCAAGAAGACCTAGAGCCATCACCCTCACCCACTGCCAGCCCAACATCTCTGGGCTAAATGCACTATCCATGTGTCCTGTGGAGCAGACACTGCCCAGCAGCTTCCTTTATTAACTCATTTAATGGATTTGTCAACTCATTTAGTCCTTAGATGTGTTAAGTCATTCCTTCTTCACAACAACCCTAGGAGGCAGGTGCCCTTGTTAGCCCAGCACCACATGCGTTAATCAAATACTTCAGTTTTCAGCCTGTTCTTTTGGCATCGTGCAGACAGGTCGACGTTGACACCCAGCCAGTGTGCACCTGGTTGTGAAAGCTCCGTGATCCTTCCATGCCAGGTGGCAAATAGCACAGCCCCAGCCACGCTGGCCCCCCACGATCAATCCAACAACAGGCAGTTAATGCGCACACACAAGGGAGCCCTCAGGGCTGTGCCACAGCCACAACCTGTTCTGAAGGTTGAGTGCCCATCTGTTCTTCGAGCTAAATATTGTGACCATCACCCCTGGATGCTACTATTTTTCAGTTAATTTGTGACAGGCTGGTATTGAAGAACAGCAATCTGACTGATGATGAGCCAAACACACACACACATTAGATCTAATTCTTCTCCACAAATCAATAGTACTTCTCTTACCCTGGTGAAGGATTTAGGAATGTTCTTAAGGTCCAGCTGGAGAATATCCCCGATGATTGGAAGTGGGAAAGGGCCAGGGGGTAGCTTCCAGCTGCTGTAGATCTGCTTCCAGATAGAGATGAGCAGGAGGGTGGCCACCTACACCAGCAGGGTAATGGTGATACCCAGGGCAACCATGGTGCCTTGGGTCCCTTTGCCAACATGCAGGAAGAGCCCGTGGAAAGGCAGAGCTTTTATAGATGCATCACCAGGAAGGAGGGTGACCCTCCAACCAATGCCTCCTCTCTTCTCCTTTGATCAAATGATTAGTTTACCGTTAGCTGATGTTGACCATCATTTCAAAGGGCACTTCCTGAGCGATTGCCTGTTAGAAGTCCCCTCCGGTGACCCTCCTGACAAAGATGGTCCTGAGCTCTGTCAATACTCGAAGCTGCAAGCACAGGTCCCCAGTGCCAATGAGAACGGCACACAGGGGAACTCCACCATCCATAGGCCAGAGCACAGGGTGGGGACTTGCCTGCCTTTTACACTGGGTGGACAAAGGGAGTACCGGTTGTTTGGGGGGTGGTTATGTAAGGTAGTATCAAGTGTATGCTGAAAGTCTCTTGGCAGGTGCTGGCTCTGGTGGTGCAAAGTCCCTTAAAGTCCACCAGAAGGTTTGTCTGAGCTTCTCCTGAGGGTCCCAAGTACCATTTGCCAGGTTGGTGTGGCCAGAGGAGGAGGATTCACATCTTGAATTCCATTCCACAAAGTCAAATCAATGGGCAAATGCAGCTGAAGGAAAGAAAAAGTTGACTGACTTTGAAAAAGTTAATCTCTGATTATAAAAGGAGTATATTTTCATAGCAGGAAATTATTCTTCAGAGCCAATTTGTCAAATTGTAAACAAAGAATACGTTAGGATTTTTATTGGAATTGTTTGAAATCAGTGAGTTAATTTGGGAGGACTTTGTGTCTTTGAAATATTTTGTCTTCGTATACCCAGCAATGCAGCAGAGTTCCATATTGTTTACATCTTCTGTGTCATTTATTCATTGATACCACCCCACTTCTACCTTATTGTTAGGGTTATTTC